TTATGATAGAGAGTCTCTTGTTTTGTCACTTTCATATACTAGTGGGAATTTTTCATTATAGAACTTGGCTTGTATATTCCAACAATGGGCTTCCTCAAATGCCCTAGGTCTTCGTGAGCAAGCAAGTTGGATGCACACCCACTTAGTTTCTTTTGTTGAGCTTCCATACATTTATAGCTCTAGTGCATCCGTTGCATGGCAATCCCTACTCCTGGGATTGACATCAATTGATGGGCATCTCCCTATCTCACTGTTTAGCTGCGTTGATGTGAGACTTTCTTATTTTTTATCTCCTCCGCATAACCCCCATCATCATATTCTATTCCACCCATAGTGCTATATCCGTGGCTCACGCTCATGTATTGCGTGAAAGTTGAAAAAAGTTTGAGATTACTAAAGTGTGAAACAATTGCTTGGCTTGTCATCGTGGTTGTGCATGATGAGAGCATTCTTGTGTGACGAAAATGGAGCATGACCAAACTATATGATTTTGTAGGGATGAACATTCTTTTGCCATGTTATTTTGAGAAGACATAATTGCTTAGTTAGTATGCTTGAAGTATTATTATTTTATATCAATATTAGACTTTTGTCTTGAATCTTCCAGATCTGAATATTCATGCCACAATAAAGAGAATTACATTGAGAATTATGTTAGGTAGCATTCCACATCAAAAATTCTGTTTTTATCATTTACCTACTCGAGGACGAGCAGGAATTAAGCTTGGGGATGCTTGATACGTCTCCAACGTATCTGTAATTTTTGAATGTTCCATGCTATTATATTATATGTTTTGGATGTTAATGAGCTTTATTTTACACTTTTATATTATTTTTGGGACTAACCTATTAACCCAAGGCCCAGTGCAAATTGTTGTTTTTTTGCCTATTTTAGTGTTTCGCAGAAAAGGAATATCAAATGAAATCCAAACGGAATGTAACCTTCGGGAACGTGATTTTTGGAACAAACGTGATCCAGAGGACTTGGAGTGGACGTCAAGAAACGAAGGAGGAGTCAACGAGGCAGGGGGCGCGCCCTTCCCACTTGTGGGCCCCTTGTGGCTCAACCGACCTAATTCTTCCTCCTATATATACTCATATACCCTGAAAACATCCAGGAGCACCACACAACCCTATTTCCACCGTCGCAACCTTCTGTACCCAAGAGATCCCATCTTGGGGCCTTTTCCGGAGCTCCGACGGAGGGGGCAACGATCACGGAGGGCCTCTACATCAACTCCATGGCCCCTCCGATGATGTGTGAGTAGTTTACTTTAGACCTTCGGGTCCATAGTTATTAGCTAGATGGCTTCTTCTCTCTATTTGAATCTCAATACAAAGTTCTCCTTGATCTTCATGGAGATCTATTCGATGTAACTCTTTTTGCGGTGTGTTTCTCGAGATCCAATGAATTTTGGGTTTATGATCAAGTCTATCTATGAAAAATATTTGATTCTTCTGTGAAATCTTTTATGTATGATTGGTTATCTTTGCAAGTCTTCAAATTATCAGTTTGGTTTGGCCTACTAGATTGATCTTTCTTGCAATGGGAGAAGTGCTTAGCTTTGGGTTCAATCTTACGGTGCTCGATCCCAGTGACAGAAAGGGAAATGACATGTATTGTATTGTTGACATTGAGGATAAAAAGATGGGGTTTATATCATATTGCTTGAGTTTATCCCTTGACATCATGTCATCTTACCTAATGTGTTACTCTCTTCTTATGAACTTAATACTCTAGATGCATGTTGGATAGCGGTCGATGTGTGGAGTAATAGTAGTAGATGCAGGCAGGAGTCGGTCTACTTGTCACGGACGTGATGCCTATATACATCATCATGCCTAGATATTCTCAAAGTTATTCGCTTTTCTATCAATTGCTCGACAGTAATTTGTTCACCCACCATAATACTTATGCTATCTTGAGAGAAGCCACTAGTGAAACCTATGGCCCGCGGGTCTATTTTCCATCATATAAGTTTCCAATCTATTTTATTTTGCAATCTTTACTTTCAATCTATATCATAAAAATACCAAAAAAATTTATCTTATTATTATTATCTCTATCAGATATCACTCCCTTAAGTGATCGTGAAGGGCTTGACAGCCCCTTTATCGCGTTGGTTTTGAGGTTCTTATTTGTTTGTGTAGGTACGAGGGACTTGCGTGTGGCCTCCTACTGACTTGATACCTTGGTTCTCAAAAATTGAGGGAAATACTTACGCTACTTTGCTGCAGCACCCTTCCCTATTCAAGAGAAAACTAGCGCAGTGCTCAAGAGATAGCAGTGACATGATGTAGCGTTGTGTAAAGTTCTGACAACTGATCAGCTCTCGCTGTCGAGGATCTTCTAACAGTTCTTTGGGAGTCATCATAATCAAGAATAGTGCTCCATTGCAAACATAAGGGGGCGATCAAGATGAACAATCTTCTAGGGGCCATGTGTGTTTGGCGACATTTAGTGTGGGGCTAGAGATTTTTAATTAAGTCTCTTCCCTCACACACCCCGAAAGTTAATCTAGCAACAAAAATTGTCTCCTTGATGGTGGTCGTAGGTAGCTATTGCTATCCAGAAACCCTAGAAGCCACGTAATTAGAATTTGTTAAACCGATTAGAGGATGTCTAACTTAGTTTTGCTGGTTTGCATATGATGCGGTATATCCTTCGTAATGACAATGAGTTTATGTATAAGATGGTTATATGTTGTAACATTAAGTGGCCTGCATGTCGCTGGAGCCACGGGATTGACACTTTAATGGAATAGATGCAGAGATAGGCTACAAGTTACAGGTGATGGTGGTCAGTGTACACAGAGGACCCCAACATGGAGAAGGTGTACCGGGCGCAGGAGGAGGGGCTAAAATTTTCGTGGCATGGCAGCGTTTTCTGAAATTGGTGCCACATCGGTGTTTTTGAAACGCTCACCACAGAAATGTTTTATGAAATTTCCACCACGATAGCATTTTTGAAACGGCTTCCACGACAATGTTTCAACTGGAGATTCAAGAGGACCGTGAAGACTTCCTGGTGCCCAGGGTTATACCATATCATGCTATTATGAATTGCCTGAGATGTTTATCCCATTGTTGTTTGCACCCTTTGACTACGCAGTAGTCAATTATTAGGGTGGTCTCTCACATAAAATACCAAGTTAGAAGGTGCTCCTCCTAGTGTATCAACCGTCTATAACATGTGGCTTTTTGGAGTACTACATGCTACCATGAGTACAAATGAATCACGAAGTGTCAGGCGGGTGAAGGTAGGACCTCACAAAAGGAACACTCAGTCATCTTGAAGTTCTGGCAGACAAGTTCTGAGCTTGGAGCACAAAGAATCGAAATATGAACAAGAGTCATATGGAGATATGATTGGCAAATTTGCCCACCGGTTGAAGTTCACGTCATCTGTGATGCTACCATCCATGGTTGTGAACAAGATTAGGATCTTGAATCAGCCACTTTGAATTATGACAGATATTGATTTGAGTGGGAGTGCACTTTATGTTAAAATTTGTTTAAACACTAGTGCTAATTAATTGTGATAAAATGTCTAAGTGAATCTTATGTTGTAGATCGCAATAGTTTCAATTTAGCTCCGTTGTTTGAGAAGGAAAAGTTAGCTGCAGTAGTAACCTGCATGGGAAAATTGTGATGGTGGCATGTGTGGTACGAAGTCTTCCTAGAGTAGAACATATTATGTACTTAGATCCGCCAAGCTAAAGTTTCAAGAGTGGCTCAAGTATCTAGTTTGTACAATGGCGTTACATAATTCATGGTAGACACATACCAATGGGAAATCCAGAATCCCTAAGAACTCCTTTCTCCCATGCAAGTTCCAAGTGTTACTCGTTCTGCTGCTCTCTTATGTTATTTACTTCTCATTCGTGCTTTACCCAAAACTACTATTTATTTCTGTACTCAATTTGCTTTGAGTCTTTAATTACTTACCGCCACAATTCCATAAGTCACCACAAGGGACATATATCCAATTTATATTCTCCCAATGGGATTGATATTCTTACTTCTAAAAAGCTACAACTAAACCTTCCGCACTTGCAGGTCATCATGGGTACACATTGACATGTTCGTGTGTGAAGAAATTTCCATTGCATCTTTTCCTAAATTCCGACATGGTAACTTTCCTACCAGTATAATGGGAATGCCATAAAAAATAGGTGGTCACTTTTAATGTGCCTTTTTATCTAAGCATACACATATGTGGAGGGAAAGCCAACAGTGGAGACGGATCATAAATCTGATTCACTATTGGCAGTTAAAACAATATGAATTTAATGGTTCAAAATAAGTGATACTGGTTTTTTCGTGTGATACACAAGAATGGAATAGTAAAGGGGTATGAGGGTCACTATGGTGCTAAAATACTTAAATTTTGTACCTAATGGTGTATTAGCAAAAATTCACGACCCTTACTCTACAAAATCCTACTAGTGAATTTGGATGTACCATATCTGCACCAATATATCTGTGCACCATAGTGCCACACAAGATTTAGGCCATGCTATATTTAGTATGTAATTAATCATTCATTATTGTCCTTCTTTATTTAGTCAGGAGCAGAGCCATGAATCAATAGAACGGGGCAAACCCAACTTACCAAACATTAGGGGGCCAAACATAAATTATTTAGCATTTACATGAAACTTTATAATATGTATATAGAATTTTCTCAATCTGGGGTGGGGTGGGGTCATGGATCCCCCCACCATTGGCTTCATCATTGATCCCAATGAACAATAAGCAATTACTTTCGTGGAAAAAATATTCGTGCGTACGTTAGAGCTCAACCTTTACACGTGTACACACACATAGGGCATGTTTGCCTCAACCCACTTTTCACAGCACCACCATCTCCATTTCATATGACACGTGTGCTTCTCAATCACCAACCCCATGCGCTCCTTGCCCAAGCCACTTCCTATAAGAAGAGACCTTCCTAGGCCATCGATAAGAATCCAACATCGTCTACCAAATCACTAGCCATGTGTTCAAGAGATGGTATATCCCAGAAGGCTATCCTGCATTGCAACACTAGCATGATGGGGTCATCCTCGCGCCCGTCCTCCATGATGTGGAATGAAGGCACAGTGGAAAAGAAGGAGGTAGCTCGCACTGGCAAGCCAGAGCGCACCTCCTTCAAGTGTTTCCAATGCAACAAGACATTCCCAACCCAGCAGGCCATGGCTGGCCACTGCAGCGCCCACACCCGGGCTAGCTTCCGGAAGAGGGCGGTTGCTAGACACACCAATCAGATCTCTAATGCTCCTGCCAGGGTTTCCTTGCCTCGCAACCCTCCACGGGTTCCCCAACATCATAATGTTGATGCCATCCACTTTTGGTGTTCGCTGGACCATATCTCAACCAGGAGCAACCCTGTGTTGCCACTAGGTATAAGGTATGTTCCGTATGTTCGTCCAACCAGCAACCAAGTGATGGTGACGGTTCCATACCTTGATCTAAATCGTCATAGTACCATGAAACCAGTGATGATGGATCCAACTAGAAATCCTGCATTAGAGCCTCTAGCACCATCTCCTAGCATGCCAACATCCACACTGCTTGGCTGGAGAGCCTTTGTCCCTATCTATAGTATGCCATCCTATGGAGTTAATGTTGCTCCACCCAGTGATGCTTTGTCCTTGACGAATACACCAAAACGCACAGAAACTGATCTGACACTCCAGTTGGGATCTGGTAATAAACACACCCAAAAGAGGACACTACCTTTGCTCAAGTCACTAATAATGGCATCAAACATTCGGCAAGGTGCCAATCGTAGATGCAAGCTGGCAACAGATGGTGTTGATCAAGGTAACATGGGGGAAAGTCAAGCGGACGGCTTAGATCTGGAGTTACATTTGTTTCGCTAGTTGTGTACTAAGGTGGAGATTAATAAGGATGCACCCCAGCAATCAAATTGTGATGCAATATGAGATCAATAAGCTATAGATTGCACTAGTAAATTTTGTGGAAACTTCTTAGATGTGGAAAAGTGTTCTAATAATAATTTGTGGATGTATCATTGTTTGTTCTCAAATAAAGAAGTTCTACAATTGTTGTGTACACTTGACTATCAATTAATTAATAGCTCCATGTTTTTTCATGTTGTTATTTTCTTCGATGTTGGAAGAAAGTGTATCTTCCCAAAAGGACAGAAGGCCCTCATCTTATGAATCAAGTGACGCATACAACCTATTTTATCAAAAAATTATTTTTGGAGAATTAACTTGCTAGAACTTAGGCAAGTGATGGTAAAATGCATGCTTCCCCATAATTCATTTCATGAGGGTGTGACACATATGGTGGTGGAGGACAAAAAAATGAGGCAATATAGACTTTGGCGCTACTTTGCAACAATGTTTGACCTCCATTAATATAACAATATCAAAAAGATATGCTCAAACAAAGAAAAGGGATGATGCAAACATCAATGTGCTTCTATCCTCAACATGGTATGCAATTAAAATAATTTTATGGCCCAAGTTTTATATATTTTTAGCAGCAAAAATATTCTTTTCAACAATATTTTAGAATAGAAAGTAATAATCACTTTAATCTTACATATCACCAGGACCCTTTCCATACACACTGTCGGTGTACTAGAATAGGGGTACCCTAGTACCCCGAACTTGTGCACGAGCAGTTGCAGCACCCCGCGGCAAGGCTTGTCGGGTGAACGCCAAGACCCTCCAAGGTTCCCTTGGAGCCATCCAAGAACAAAGTATATAAGCTAAGGAGACAAGACCCCGACAAGAGGAGCTTGCCGGGAAGGCCAATCAAGGCGCACCAAGGAACTTGCCGCGACGCGCCCCTCCGCTCCAGCAAGGCGGCAAGGCCCCGGCAAGAGGAGCTTGCCGGGAAGACCAACCAAGGTACCTCGAAGCCTCCGGGCCCGACAAGATAGCAGCAGGGGCAAGGCACTTGCCGCGGCAGGCGGCCACTCTGCATCCACGCTCCAGCGCATCCACCAACGTGTCGCTCTGGGGGCCTCCCCGGGCGCGCGTGGCAGGAGGCTGTGCAGCCAGCGGTGCGCAGCGGCATGCGAAGCTGACAAGATCGCCATCGTGGCGAACGGTGGCGCCCCTAACGGTCCTTTCTGCACTGTTCGGGCGACTCAGATGGGCATTTAATGCCCTTGTCCCCTGCCGTCAGGGTTAGGTAGGGTGCACTGTACAAGCAACTGTATCAACTACCTCGATTTTTACGTTCTTACCCTCCTCTGCGTTGCCACCTGTCGGTGACCCCTTTAGCGTATAAAAGGAAGCCCATGCGCAACGTATAGGGGGTTCGGCTGATAGGTTCGGGGCCTCAGACAGTTTGCTTCGAGCCATCCGTAGCCCAGAGAACATCACTCTCTCGCTCGAGAGCAAGAACACCAGATAATACAACCAGACAAGCAGCAGTAGGAGTGTTATATCTCCGGAGAGCTTCGAAGCTGGGTAAACTGCTCGTGTGCCTCGCCTCGATCTGCTCTTCGTGCGATCTCCGCCCCCCTCCGAACCGAAAGGGGCCCGGTCCGCCGGCCCCATAGGTGTCTGAGGATCAGTTTCCCCGACATCTTTGGCACGCCAGGTAGGGGGCGTCGAGATTGTGTGAACCTGATCCGGTGTTCACACGAGCTAGATCTTCATCCCCTTCATCAACATGCCACCGAAGAAGAAGACTTCGGCAGCAGCCACTCCGTCCACGTCATTTCCGCCACCGTTGGAGCAAACGGGTGGTGGAGTGGACGCCGGCGGAAGAACAGCCGTCGATGAGGGTGCTCACAGTGCTGCCAAGTCCAAGGACAAGGCTGCACAAACCTCGACGACTGTACATGTTCCGCGCCACTCTTAGGAGGCGCAAGATCAGCAGCACCATGGCGCTCGCAGCACCATGCGCATGATAGACCAAGGCCAAGCTGGTGGATCTCGGGGCGCTCAAGACCAGCATGCACTCCAGCATGCTGGCACGAGTGGGGCATGGTCGCCTGGACGGGATACTGCTCCTTCTAACATAGTTAGAAGTTCGAGCACGTCCCACTCCTCGCGCCGTCCGCCACTGCCACCCACCACCCCGGCAGAAGCTTTGGCGCGAGCTCAACTTCTCCTAGATTACCCTCCGACGTCGGACAAGATCGACGAATGGAGGGCCACCATCCAGAGTCTCATCGGCTATGCCAACGGCGACACTCCACGGCGGCCGAGCGCGTCGCCGCTGCGGCAGGACCGCCGGACGCGAGCCGGCGGCGACGAAATGGGCGGAGGTGCAACTACCATGCAATCACCGCCCCGAAGGCCAAGATCGCTGACTCGCCGGATCCACCTCGACAGCGACTCCACTGCATCGTCGGATCCACGAGTTCGTCGCGATCAGCGCCAAGTTCTTCATGATCGACAACAAGAAGACGCTCGAACCCGCATCGAGCACCGAAGAAAGCGCGACGTCAATTCGACAAGCGCGCTGGGCCCTCTGTTGACATGCATGCGCTAGGGGAACCAGGCAATCTGCCGTACGCGGTAGGTTGTCCTGCGTTCACTCGTGAGCTGCGGCAAGTCAAGTGGCCCAGTACAAAGAACTTCAAGCCAGACGTACCGGAGAAGTACGACGGCAAGACGCATCCGTCAGAGTTCCTCAGCATCTACACCATTGCGGTGCAAGCTGCCGGGGGACGAGATGACAAGATCCTTGCCAACTACTTCCCGCTGGTGCTCAAGCCCAATGTCAGATCCTGGCTCATGCACTTGCCGGACAACTCCATATCCTCTTGGGCTGATCTGTGCCATCAGTTTGTCGGCGCCTTTACGGGCGGACACAAGCCTCATGGCCAGGAGAGTGATCTTCATCTGCTCGCCCAGAAGGAAGGAGAACCTTTGCGCAAGTACATTCAAAGATTCAGTAGTGTGCAGCACAACATCCCAGACGTCCACCCTGCCGCGGTGATCAGCACGTTCCATCAGAACGTGCGGAACCGCAGGATGCGGGAGGAAATGGCTATGTGCAAGATCAGGGACGTCAGTGAGTTATATGCACTGGCCGACAAGTGCGCGGGTGCTGAGGAAGGGAGGAGACTTCCCAGAGAAAATATAGGAGCGGGAGGATCTGACAGTGAAGATGTTGCCCCGACAAGGAAAAACCGGTGACGGAACAACAGAAGGAGGAAAGGCAAAGAAGTGCTAGTTGTTGAGCAGTCCGGCAACGGTGGCGGCGCCAAGGAAGCCAAAGCTGGTAACTTCGGCAAGGAGATTGCCGCAGAGGTGGCGGTCGCCGACAAGCAGGACGGCACCAACAAGCAGTATTGCAAGATTCACTGCACCAAGGGCCATGATCTTCAGAACTGCAAGAGGGTCGAGCAGCTCGTTGAGCAACAGAAAGCTGAATACGAGCGGCGCGACAAGGAGAAGGCCCAGGAAGGAGCTGGTGGATCCGGCAAGAAACGCCCCGGCCGAGGAGGACGCCGCGGCAAGGCCAAGCAGCGGCAAGGAGACAGACCTCCTCGCGACCGCGACAAGGATGAAGATGACGGCGACGATGAAGATATGGATGATGAGGAGACCGATGAGCAGGAGTTTCAGAAAGCTACAGAGGTCCTGTGCATGGACGGTGGTGCTTCTCTGCATGCCTCGCACCGCCAGCTCAAGCAGTGGATGCGGGAAGTTAATGCAGCAGAACCACCCGTCGAATCACGCAAGGCTCTCAAATGGTCCAGCACGCCTATCATCTTTGATATTGAGGACCACCTGGATCGCATAACTGCGGTCGGGTGCTTGCCGATGTTGGTTTCACCAACAATCCGCAACCTGAAGGTCACTAAGATGCTAGTTGACGGCGGGGCCGGTTTGAACTTGATCTCCTCCATGGTGCTCCAGAAGCTACAGATCCCTGACAGCGAGCTCGAAGAGAGCGGCACATTTCAAGGAATCAACCCGGGAAGGAGCAAGCCAAAGGGAAAGATCACGTTGCCGGTAACATTTGGCAGTGAGCTGAACTTCAGAACTGAGAGGGTCACGTTTGACGTTGCCGACTTTCCATTACCTTACAATGGAATCCTGGGCCGTCCGGCACTCGCCAAGTTCATGGCAGCCTCTCACTATGCGTACAACGTACTGAAAATGCCAGGGCCAATAAGTGTCATCTCTGTCCCTGGCGACAAGAAGGATGCTCTTATCTGTGCCGACAAGATCTATCGGGAAGCAGCAGCTGCGGCAGAACGAAGGACACTTGCCGCTGAAGCTCCCGGGGGGAAGAAGAAGACCAAGTCCGGCAAGAGCTCTGATGCATACTCCGGCAAGCGCACCTCTTCGGAGTGCTGCGATTCCGTCGAGGACGCACCATCGAGCTCCACCGGCAAGTGCAAGAAGGCGATGGCAGCTCGACCTGCGACTAAGAAGGTGTCCGCCAAGGAGGATGGCACTGGTGGTACCTTCACCATCAGCGCCACTCTTGACCCCAAATAGGAAAGCGCACTCGTTGCTTTCCTACGGGCGAATGTCGACGTGTTTGCGTGGCAACCGTCTGATATCCCCGGTGTTCCCAGGAAAGTGATTGAGCACCACCTTGCCGTCTGTCCTCATGCACGGCCCGTCAAGCAGAGAGTCAGGAAGCAGGCAGTTGAGCGCCAAGAATTTATCGCAGAAGAAATCAAGAAGTTGGAAGCAGCAGGCCTTGTCAGAGGAGTACTCCATCCCACGTGGTTGGCCAATTCTGTTGTTGAGCGCAAAGCTAACGGGAAATGGAGACTTTGTATTGACTTCACTGATGTTAATAAAGCTTGTCCCAAAGACCCATTTCCCTTGCCGCGTATTGACCAGATTGTTGACTCCACAGCCGGATGTGATTTGCTTTCATTTATTGATGCATACTCAGGATACCATCAGATCTTCATGGCAGA